GGTTTTTCGTAAGCTGTACGCCATAATCGTCACAATTATACCAAAATAAGGCTTGACATATCTCGCTTTGCATGTAATGCGTCTATCTCATATATTGGTTTCACCTTTTGAGTTGCGTTACTGACATAAGGTTTCACCTTTTGAGTTGCGTTACTGACATAAGGTTTCACCTTTTGAGTTGCGTTACTGACATAAGGTTTCACCTTTTGAGTTGCGTTACTGACATAAATGAACATTTGCACGATATTCTAATTTTTCGAGTTTCACCTGTATGTGAACAGTGTGCCTCCTATGTGATGGGAAAAAGTTAAAAGTAGGAACAATGAAAACACAATTTGATATTATGCAACTCCCCTAGCACCTGATTCTGCTCAAGGGTAAATAGTTAATTGTCAAATGTCTACCTTCTAATTGCTTCAATGTATTTTAGTGTGCAAAGAGAAACAGTTATTCTCTTAAGAGGCATTCTGCCCTTTTCTCCTCACTACTATTTATTCTAAAAAAAATCAAAACCAGCTTCACCTTGAGAGAAGTGTTTTTACAGAACTATAGTATTCACAAACAGAAACCACTTAAGATGCAACCATGTATGACTAAATACTCTTTTTAATGATGTTATTGTTATGAAGAGACAAATTATTTTGACAGAGAACTCAACACAAACTTCACATGCAACTACAGTATAGTACCCATAAACAAACTAGTAACAACTACACACATTTACCTTAAGTTATTTTAACAGTTCAGAGATCTCTTTCTTAGCAATAGAATAATATAACTCCAATAGTATAAATTATTTTGATAGGTGCATTAAATCAAATAAAATGGCTACAATATTAATTTGATGCATCCTATTCCTCTTATATCCTTTCAATATCCGTTCATTATATAGACAGCTCCTTCCCATATGTTTGTTTATAAAGAAACTCAATCCATTTATAAAAAACCAAGAAAAGAACGATCATATTTCAATATTTTTTTTTTGGCATGCCATTTCTTCTTACTTCCACTCTAAACCTCTAGAGTGGAGGCAAGTTTAAACTCTGTGCATACTACACTGAACAGATTGTATTCATTATTACTTATAGAATATAGATATACTTACAAAACTCCTGAATATTATTTTGCCTATTCATAAATACTGACATCCTTTTCCAATATTATTGTAGTTTAGATAAATTATAACAGCAGCTAAAATCACCTACTATATGCTGTGTAACTGTAATAGTCATCAACATGAATAAGCTGTGTCTCACTGTATTTCAACTCTTAGATATATTCTGAGTAACAGATCTTCGAATTACATATTAAAAGAATTTAGATTTCTGTTTTTAAAATGTGAGAAGGAAAACGGCATTTCTACTACTCAAAGGGAAACAAATGGAAGCATACCGCACAAAGTTCCAAGTTATGTGACTGTTAGTGCCTTATAAAGTTATTTTTCCATTAGCCTAGCAAGGTATTTAACATAAGCAACATACAGTCTGTCTACTGTTTAAGAAGTTTTTAAGCACAAAGACGACAAAGGGAGCTCCCATGTCCACAGATTATATGGTTATGCATCAGCAAGTTGCCATTTAGAAATTTAATAACTTTATTTTACCTGTAGCAGCTTTTCCCATACTGACAAGCAGTCCTCTGGGATTTGTTTATGTTAGAACTCTGTTGCGCTTCTTGACTTTCCATTAAATTTGAAGTATCTATTCCAATAGCCTGATTCAGAGTAGTCTCTTGAGTCTCTCCCTGATGAAGTAATTGTGATGGCTTCTCATAAACTTGCATAGTTTTAGAGCTAACACTCTCCAACTTGTTTCCTCTATTTGTTGTATTTACTTGAGTAGGCTGACATGCCTGTCCATCTGAGTTGAGATCCAGGTCTTCATTATTCAGCTGATTGTTAAATTGCTGTATAGAACTTTCAGCTTTCTGAAATATTTTTTTACTTCCATTCTTTGGCATATTCTTTGCAACATCTTTAGTAAACATTCCCTATATATAATGTGGAAATTGGTAGGAAATTGTTCAATGAACAGATTTTAAGTTACTGTTTGTGTGAAAATAGAGCTTAATTAAGATGGATTAATTCATCAGTATACATAACACAAAATTAGACAGGTCTCTGCCTCATGGTTCTTATGAAGACAATGAAGAACAATTAGGAAGACAATGAATGATGGGAAATAAAGGATAACAATATTAAGGAAAAACGTGGGAATTAAAAGATGAAAGTTAGCACCAATTCCATACGGGGGGGAATGCTAAAAGAATGGGCAATGTGGAAATTAGCAGTGTCATGTTAGAAAACAAGATATCTTTGAGAGAGGAGAGTCATTTTGGCAGGAGGATCTTGAATTGACTTTAAAAAAATGAATTTTGATAGAAGAGAATAGTCCTAAATAGAATTTAGCTCAAGGAACAAACAGAAAAGGGAAGCCAATGATGCAGGTTGCTGACTGAGAAGGTGTTCAGGTGCAATTTGTAACTGATCCAAATTAGAAAGTAATTTTGGATCAACATTCTTTATGTTATTAAAAAAAAAAAGAATTTGTAGAAAGTATCCTTCAAATACTGACTGGATGACATTGATTCCTACCATATGCTTACCGATGAC